GCTTCCCGGATAGCAAATTAAGAGTAGAACGCCTCGGTACAAAACGGTTTGCCCTAAATTGCGTGTTGCGTGAGTCGCGTGCTGTGTTTTGGAAGCGAATTCGAGAAGCACAGATGGTGGTTCTTTAAAACAAGCAGTTTCACATGAAATAGGTCTTAATTAAACATTACAGTTAGCACTGGAATGAAGAGAAAAACCGAGTTTTTTAAATGATGAGATTACCGAAATTCAGGGTTAACAAAGCAGGAATATAGAACTGAACGAAGCATTGATAGTAATCGAGGTCAGGACAACCAACACAGTTCCTGTTGTCCAGTAGGTAGTGCCATTCTCCCGACATTTTGTTGTCTAGTAGACTGCGTTTGATTTAGCTGGCTGAGCCGAAATACCCGGTCTATTTTAGGCCAGATCACCATCACACTGTCACCCACGTCCATTTGTGCGTTTTGCCCGACACCTCAGAATAGCACGAAGATATCCCGCCAAACACGGGATGTTCGAAGGACCAGATTACACTGACCTGATATGAATGTGTGTGGCGCGATGAAACAACCCACTGAAAGTGCTTACCATGAGTGTTTGCTCAAGAAAAGGTGGATACCAGTGGACAAAACCATGAATTTATATCGACGAGAGCAGTTAGAAGATGACTTACATTCCGGTAGTTATGGCCTTTGGATTTGTCGCGCCGAGTATCCCCGAACCTTCACAATCTAACTCTGGGCTAGACGCAATATACTACTTACACGAACTTTGACATCCCATGATAACGCCCTTCTTGGGTCTTATCGGGTAGGCGCAGTCCCCGGTTTTCCATCAACTTTATGTTCTACTCGAATTGAAATTGCTCGAAATTAGCGAAATACACACTCGAAGAGATTTCAACAACCTCATCAGTAGTGCGTTACATCTATACATGCATCGTGATATCTCGAATATCGTAGCAACTGAAACCTAAGGCGGCCTGGTGCAGCACATTCATTTGCTCGAAAACATAAACGAAAGATTCAGCTGGGTTCCAGGTGAGCCTCTCGCAAAACCAAATTGGTTTGCAAATGAGTGTATTTCACTAATTCTGGGATATTCGTTCGGTCGAGAATAGCGTATCCTGAACACGCAGTCATCCCTCACTAGAGTTATTCCTCTTCGGGGGAAAGTGAACCGGTGTGACTAAAGAGAGAGGGGGCATTTAAATGTATTCAAAATATTCATTGAGTTGAAGTGTGCTTCATAGTCTAGCCATCCGTTTATCACCACTTGCCCGTAGTAAGCAGGAAGTGCAGTTTAATTGGCCATCCGTCCTTGCGGAGAATGTGGGTGCATGAGTGATCAGTTGACTAGTTACAAGAGTTTTGTCTCAACTAGTGAATTGTTATTTGGACCTGTACTTTATTTCAAACTCAAAGGCTGAACAAAGTGGTCTGGGGATCGTGACCCAGCCTCGAAATATTGATCAAATGTCACGTTCTTGATCTCTTTATAGATCTCTTTGTAGAGCCTGAATAAAAAAGCAAAAGCCCTCGTAAAGTTGAGGTTTCTGACATTTAGCCAAAGGTTAACCTGTCTGTGTAATCTGAGGAAAATTGTGCACTCTTAAGTAGGTCCGTAAAAATCGATTTTGATCGGAGGTGAAATAAAAGCACCCTGTTTGGTCAACGATGACACGTTGTAGCAAATTTCCGCAATATTTTAAACAATACAACGAATAAATGTTATTAAGCTTTGAAAAAGTTTAGCTTGCCAAAGTTCACTGTGCCCTTTTTCTCTGCACAAATGTCCCACTAGATGTGAGGTGACAGGAAGCTGGTTTTTTTATTCAGCAAAATTCTCCTACCTATTCCATTTGATCTCGCTGGCTTAATGTGACATTAAAAGCCAGAATTATCGTCAGTGATCTGCGACTGACGACCGACTGGTTAAGACAGAAAACTGAACCAACGGATTATTCTAGTGTTCCGTTAATCAATGGACCGATATGGGGAAACCCTGCCATTTTTGTCCGGTTTTGTCTCTAAACTACTATATTTGACCCACCAGCGAAAGTTCTGTATTTTGAGTCATGGGGCTGTTGTGGACCACAGTCCCTTAATGCCTTCTTATTATCGTGAACCCGTGTCTGGATGGTCGATTGATAGCCTGGTGCACTTCGCCAAACCAGAAAAATCAACGAACGTGCAAGCCAGCTGATCCATTGATCACTGTCGCGTACAAACGGGCCAAAAAAGTGATACTAAGACTACAACTCATCTATCAAGGGCGAGTGAAGAACAACCAATGAAATCTGTCCCTCAACGAAAAGCGGTTATTCCATTGGCTGTTGTGTAGTCCCGATACGTTCAGAGCTGGTTCTCCTAATAGAGGCCAACCATTACAAGTGTAAATCAGCATCTCACTTACGTAAATGACCACTATGGTCTTGTAATGGACTACTGATATGGTTCCAGGAAGATTTTATGAAACCAGATGGGGCTCGACAGAGCTTTCGAATTTCTGCAAACATTTGCAGCTCTAGAACTTTTGGATAGGTTAACTAACCGTGAGCAGAAACGTATTCCTTTGAAATACACTCACTCGGGGTCAGCTTAATTTTAACGCGAGATTCAACCGGATCGCAACTAAAACATCCGCTTACGACATTTCAAATCGGAGTGCGATGTATAAATGCCGCATCATATTGTAGGTGTGAGCGGATTTCGTTCCGGCTATATATCCAACAACCTACAACACGATACTTGAAGTATCGCAGTATATTATTTAAAATGTGAAAGTTGAGATGGCCTTAGGTTTAAACGCTTTCTGTGAAAATATACTGCGATATCTTGGACGTCGTACCAAAAGAAAATGGGGCGGTCTTTGTGCAGTAAATTCAGATAAAGAATTTCAGCTGCGATTCACTCGAGTTTCCTGTTGAAATCGAACTGGTAGGCAAATGAGTTTAGTTTGGAAATTTATCGAAACTTCGCTATAAGTAGAAAAGAAGTTTGATTGACGGGGAACTTGAGGATAGCGGCTACCTAATAAGCGTCCAGGAAGGGTGAAACCAGCGATTGGCTGTAGAGGAGTTTTTAGCAATCCTTTGGGTGCATATATATATATAGAATAAAAGAGACACAAACCAACGAACCAATCAAATAATTCTCTACTGGTCTTTGTAAAGGACGAATGACCTTGAAATGCGTGAAACCCTAATTCACTTGAGGGGCGAAGGAATGTCTCTTTAACAATGTCACTTGCATATTAACACTGACAGTTATGCTTCATTCCAAAAACATACTTATTAAGGGAGTAACCAAGTTAGTGGGAAATCTATGTGGAGGTACTCATCAATTGCGGTTGTATTCCAACAATCAAGTAAGGATGAAGTCGCTGAAAAAATATGATAAACTCTGCGTACCATGGCCGACTAAGTTACGCACAAATTCCGGTATTTTTTTTTGCTTTGTTCCAGGTGTGCATCGCATTTTAGCGAATAAGTTTTCCCAGTCTTCAAACCTGCTAATGTGTCTTTCCGCTGTGAACTTCAAACGCCGTGATTCAAAGAAGTTTCCGTTCTTGGTGTCTCACAATTAAAAAGTTGAATTTTACTACGTCTATATTGATTAGTGTAGAATTCGATAAACGCTTTTGTAAAAATTACTTTGGAACACGATCACCTGGCAACGTTGTTTATTGATTACTTTAGAATCCGGCGGTCTTTTCTTTATTCCCTCGGGTTTTTTGCCACATACACACACAATTGCTTTGTAAAAGGGGACGGAAGTGTGTTCAGCTAATTTGCATTCAAAATTGGAGCCCAATGCGCTTCGGTGATCAAGCTCAACAAAGACTCCGGTTGAGGAAAAGCTCGCGCATGTGAATTCAAAAATACCGGTACTTTGACAAGCTGGTTCCGGTGAACGTCGTGCATGAGTTTTAGACATTGTTATCAAATTATTCTTTCAAATTCAGAGGTTAACCTTGATAGACTGCTAAAGGACACTAGTTTAAAGTTTAATGTACCACGATTTTGTATATCGCAAACATTGTTCTGTGTGATCAACCGACTGAAATGAAACACCTTCAGTTGAACGGAAAAACGTGGAACTAGGAGATTAGGTCAAGTAGGGATTTTGTCATTTTCCAATTGAAACGCGTTTAAGTAAATTCCCCCACTTGAGAAGAAAACGGGCCACCTTCGTAAGCGTTTGCCCAGCCAGGATTCTACAAGCCTAGCATCCAATCGTACAGTTTTCTATTGTATTGTTATTCAGAAAAAGAGGCCCTACTGTTGATCCGGCACAATGATCGGTCAGTATTTTACTTTATCTATCTTCACACAAAAATGTCATCAGGAATTCAAATTTTCTATATAATAGCGATCATACATCACAGTTCGGTAGTCGAACAGCCAGGATCAAGACATCACACATGGGTCCTGTCAGCATTTCAAATAATTTACGGGAGTCCTTCACCCGGTCTCCTGCAGCTGAAATTCCAACAAAATGTCACTCGTAAAGGAAACTACAGGTTGCTGACTTCACCCGGTCTCCTGCAGCTGAAATTCCAACAAAATGTCACTCGTAAAGGAAACTACTCACAAGGTTGCTGAAAACTCTTCGACAGCCCACTTTGACCGGTTTCGCCCTTCTTGGGGCTCATCAAGTAGGCGCAGTCCCCGAGTTTCCGTGCCAACTGAAACATGAGGCGGCCTGTGTGCAGCACATTAAGTTGTAGAATATCGTAAAGGAGAGATTCGTTTGAGTCTCCCGTGAAAACCAAATTGATTTGCAAATGCGTATATGTCTCGAACATGTCAATCGCTTCAACCCACTGTGATGGAAACCACTTCCATTCTGATGTGATATCACCTGCCTGGATGTTCGGAGATTATAGGCGCTTTTACAGCCACAGGGAACAAAATAGTACAGAGGGACAAACGAAAAATTGGTCAGTAAATCAACCTACTAACAACCAAAGTAGTTATGAGTAAATAAATCATCAATTTGGCGAGGAAATATGTACTAGCATTCACACATCAATAAGACGTTTAACAGGACATTGCTATCCACTGATGTCAGGAGAAGTAAGTGAGCACTTCGTTTTTCGTTACTGTGAAAAGGTGGTAAAAATTTTGGGCTTATTTTTGAGCATAGCTCTCTACTATCGTTCAGCTGTGGCACCCTTTCGGTGCCTAACTGCCATACCACCCTAATGTTGCACGAGGGCTGGGATACTGCCAGGTTGCCCAAGCCTAGACAAGGGAAGTCGAGAGGTAGAGGTCGGGTTCGAACCACGGACCTTCCGGTCAGTAAATTCGCGCCCTACCCACTTGGGCCATCCCCCCCCCCCTTTTGAGCAAGGGCTGAATGTACGTCTCCTTGTGAAGTGGCCACGTTTTAATCGAATGTGTGGTACTATCCCTTTTACCAATGAAAATCGCTCCTATTCTGAGGTCAGTTATCACACCGACCAGCATTTAATGTTCTCGGTTTACGCAATTGTCAACGTTGTTAAATTGAACCCGCCAAGTATGGTGCCATCTTACATCACCATTCTAAACTCTTGGCTCTCCATTTCTTACAGTGAGTCCAATTCATGTTCAAGATCAATCGAAGATCACCGCGCAACGGTCACATTGAAACAAACTGTTACTGAAGATAGCCGGTATAACGCTATCTCAACGTGCAATAAACCAATTTCCATGTAATGCGTTGACATCAGACTCTATGTTTTTGCGGAATTCCAGTTTTTCAATCACACCGACGAACAATATTGGAACCTTTATAACTGTTGTGAGATTATGCCCGTTACAAGCTTCGCTTCAAAGGACCCCACCCCCGCCCAAACAACATTACAATATGCGTATTCCCCTTTCGCCCACAGTTGTGTGACTTTCCCTATTCCGCACCCTCATCCAAAGGATTTCGTTCGCGTTGACTGTGCTCTCCTAACGTTTCTGCGCTATCCAGTCAAGCCTATTGTAATGTTTTTATTTCGCAACCCTTTTTTTGTCCGTGAGAGACCGAAACTTTGTCGCTGGAATCTATGTAGCCAAACAAGTTGTGCCGTTTTTTTTAATTTGACACATCCAAGTGCACCGGTGGTTCTCCGTCAAAAAACGTACCTACCCCAATGTTATCAGGAACAAGGTGTGCTTTCAAAAATAACGGAATCAACTTGACTGAATATGAACTTACGTCATCCGTACGGTAGGATTTATACAGATTTGCACCTCATTCCATGTATAAGCCGTAGTAGGTTATGGTAAACATGAGTAGTGGTAGTAAAAATGGCAAAATAGCTACAGAGATGTCCAGCGTGGGCCTGGAAAACTTTATCGAATGCCTAAGGACGTTCATGGTGAAAAAGACGTGGTTATCGCGTCCATCATGGGATGGCCATCTTCTGAACAGGCAAGACTCTTGAAAGCTCCTCAGTTCTATCCGGTCTCAAGTTTCCTACATGACTGACGGGTTATTTGTCTTCTTGAAAGCCCCTTATGCGATCCGCGAAAAATTGGGACAAGGCTACTAATCGCCACAGCCTTGGAATAAGAATATTTCGAGTTCCTGTATTACAGGCCACTCTCAGACTCCATCTTTAGGCATTGCCACAACATTCTGCCAACACCGCAGATGCAACCGTGATGATAGTTTTAGACTAAATTACAAGAAGTGAACTGCATTTCCAAGCAGGTCAATAAGTCCTTAGCTGCCGTGTGGTCATCTTTGTGAATTTACTTGGTCACATATTATACTGGCCATGATTTGACCAATCAGAATACGTAGCCACGTACCAACTCTTCAAACCCAACCAGTGATGTTTGACGTTTCTGGCCTGGAGTCGCGAGACACTGTCACGAAAAGGAGTATGAGGATTTACGTATGCAATACCAGTTCCACCTTTTTGGTGTGGTGCTTAGTTGGTGGTTTCTGCAGAAGTTGCATCAGGTGGGCCGGATGTGGTGCTTAGTTGGTGGTTTCTGCAGAATTTGCATCAGGTGTGGCGAGGTTAAGCAAAATAAACAAAAGCAAGAGTGAAATGTTTATGATAGCTATCGGGCCGGGGCAGCAAGCAAAATACTTTTTGCAACAATAATTAATTGGTTAATTCAGAAGCCGCAACGAAGTAATAGGCTAATCTCCCCTCAAAATTTTCCCATTCCTGGAAAACATCAGCACTATAATTAGTTCGCAAACAGCAGTTTTGAGCTGTGCTATGATTGGCTATTGGTTATCATAGCATATGGATTCTGATTGGCCCGATGGTAAGTTGTGTCACTTCGTGATCTATATTTCTCACGTCCGACTACCACACAGCGTGGTGAAACCACATACCCTGTGTACCCTAGGTTTTCCTCAAAGTCTCGGGGGCAAAGCAAAATATCTCGAGATTCAACGGCTTGTAAGAGGCTGTTCCACTGGTTTATTCGGAGTTGATCCAGTAAGTGATCAAGACTGCCATACTCACGAGTAAAAGCCACACAAACTGGCTGGCACCTCCTATGGGATCGATTAAACTTTTACACCCAATCCTAGGAACTGTGGCGTTTTAAGTCTAGTTGTGAAATTTCCTGGTAGCCACATAATTAAGGGTCAGGTAGAGGCTCAAACAAACGTAACGGATGCAGATGCCAAAACGCCACAACCCAAGAAAAACGTGGCGAATTCCTACTATTTTGTCCCTCGGTGTTAGACTACTTTTTTCAAAGTTGCGCAAGGCCACTTTACTGTGCTGTGACTGTTCTCGGTTCTCTAAAACCGAAGGGGTTGAAAACTGAAAGCGCGGATCAGTGCCGGTGCTAATAGGGGTGCCAAGCATTCACCCGACGCCTCCCAAACGTTCTCCAGTGCTATATCGTTTGTACTGCATTTACACATAAGCATCTATCACAGAAACAGTTTTCAAACGGTCGCTGTCTAATTTGTACGGTATTATATAGGGAGCTCAACTTGTACATCTTAATTTGTACGGTATTATATAGGGAGCTCAAACATACTTGTACATCTACATGTTATAAGCTTTCGAACTAGCTTGCTAGCTCACCAAACACGACCGGTTGATGTCAGTTGATCGATTGTGGCATAACTGATGTCTCCCTTCGATAAATAACGATTGAATTGGTTTGGCTGACTTGTATGGAAAAGACGCAACTACGTATGATGGCACTAGGCCACAGTTAGTATAATGCAAAATTGTAACTCGGAGAGGACGTGAGTACGGAATGGGTGGAATGCTAAAGACCGGATTTTCACCTTGATTTTAAACTGGATTAAATTTTCCGGATAATGGAGGACACAAAAAACACCTATTCATGTTACCCATCATTGGTCCTCTACTTTCAGGGCACCAAATGGGCATAAGAACTCATCACTGATTCTTGGGAACCGGGTTAGATCCCGGCGGTGTGTCAAATCCGTTAGCCTACCTAAAAACATAAACGTCAGATTACCCTTACTGAACCATATCGTGGCGGCGTTTGGGGCTTTTAGAGGCAATAGGCAGCTAGTCGCGCCATAGAACTTTAGATTACACTTGACGTCAGCTTTCTTTCATATCTCGCCTATTTTTGACGTGGTGGAAGTTTAACTTCATTGCAACTAGTGGCAATCATTCGTCCGAGATACGTCTTTAGATGTCTTCGTTTCAAAGAGACTCGGTGAAAAGGGGCTCGTTTTAGGATGCGCTGAATTCTAGACAGAACAGAGACAAGTGTTCCTCTGTACATAGAAATAAAACAGTTCACCTCAAATTGGACGAGATGAGGTTGGAAAGATTCGTTTGGGCACAGACATCCCATGATCGGTTCTGCGACTGGTGTAGATGGATCGTTCGTTCAACCTATAGTCCATCAATGGATAACAAGCAAAACCAAGGATTTCTATTCCTCGATCCTTTCCATGGGATTTTTCAACTCGTACCATCTTGATCTTTTGCTGGAGAGCACCGCCAAACACATACTGACAACGAAACAGCTGTCAGACTCAGGTGCTATTGACCACAATTTGCATCCCAGAACAAGGGGTTTCACCTGCTTTGTGATATGGAACAAGGTTTTCGATAGACGCGACTAGAAGCACCGTAGGAAGTAAGAATATTCCGAGTATACATGAACAGTTCTCAGATGTTTTCCTTCTGAGCCAGAATGATGGATTTTAGCTTATGTCCGTTGCACTTTATTGGCAGAATATTAGTGCATATTGACTTTAAAGCGCCATCAGCCTTTATCTGTAATATTAGGCTCCTAAAACCGAAGGCTGAGTAGAGAGCAATCAGATCGTTCACAATTTCTGCTCGTATACTATACAATTCATATAATAGCCGGATTCTGCGTTATCGTTTTTAATAAAATATAGGCTTTCCAATTAAATGGCAGCGAGATGGCTCAAATGGTTAGAGCGCGAAGTTACTGATTTGAAGGTCCATAGTTCGAACCCGACCAATTAAATGGCGGCGAGATGGCTCAAATGGTTAGAGCGCAAAGTTACTAATTTGAAGGTCCATAGTTCGAAACCGACCACTGCCTCTCGACTTCCCATATCTAGGCTTGGGCAACCTGGCAGTATCCCAGCCTTCGTACTTCTTTCGGTGTTTCTTGAGCTACGTTCCTCTCGTTGGAGCTGGCGAACATTCAGGAAATGGAGACACACGAGATCTGTATAAATTAGATGCTGCATGAGCGGATCTTATACTGAAGACTGGTTAACATTAACTGGATATGTATATATTGGTTATGATTTTTTCGTCAGGCAAAGTTGAGGGAGTGGTGACCAGCACCAGTTACAGGAGGTCACCATCAGGACAACGAGATTTAGCGAGGGAGTTCGTGAGGGTGACAAAACGTGTTCTTTGCTGCTCTACGAGAGGGAAAGGTATTTCGTTATCCAAATCCAGAGCATTCAAAAAGGTTACCTGAAATGATCGACTAAATGTCATATTTTTGGTAGGACTCTCCACAGTTCTGCGGAACACGTCTGGAAAAAGTTTTGAAGCAGCTACTGAAAACGGCATGCATTTTTTGGCAAAGATTTGCAATCATGATGGTCGTAAACATATGACAGTTCTGCGGGACACGTCTGGAAAAAGTTTTGAAGCAGCTACTGAAAACGGCATGCATTTTTTGGCAAAGATTTGCAATCATGATGGTCGGTAAACGTATGTAAAGCCGTGCCCTGAAATCGAGATACTTTTATTTCTACGGTAAGTGAAATTAAAGAACCATCTCCCAGGTGAAATATGGTTCCGAGTTTTTATGTAACCCCAAATGAAATGACAGGATCTTTTCGTTACAGAGAGAGACTGTCTTGAGTCGCGCTTCATCCAAATCAGATGTGCTGTGTCATAGTTCGGGTTTGCGCTTTTGATGTGAAATGTTTTATCCTCTGCGTCATTATGGTCAGCAAAATGATCAGCTGTTGATCTCTGCTCTAGTCCGTCCATTGTCATGGTTACGCGTCAGAATGGACTTCAAAGGAAACTCCGAGGTTTAACTTGTTCAATGAGGCTATTGATTCCTTATCCTAGTTTTCAACTCATATCAGTGTTTCAGTCTGCATTGCATAAGACGCAATTCCTGATCACTGCGTGTTCCACGAGCTTTTCTTCATTCTCTACCCCTCGTTTAAAAGTGAATCTCCAAGCGCTTTCTTTTATTCCTTAGTCGGCGTCACTTTCCCCTGGCTAGTCCATGCATTTTCCGATTGCATGACACATGCATACCAATAAAACGAAGGCTCATACATCACAAGTTTATATGGTACCAGAAATCACGTGAAAAAGGTATATATATTTTGGTGGAGCAGAAGGGAAGGTGGGTTGAGTGAGGCGTAGGAAACGGGTCGGGGAATCGAGTATTTGACGTCAATATCAGGGAGTCTTGTGTTACCCGATAAATCACAGGCTAGCAACCGAAATGAACTAATTACCAGGAGGTTTATCGACTCTGTTAATGCGGAATTAATGCCTGCTAAACTGTGTTTGATCTTCAGTTCATGCCCCCTCATCAGGTTCCGTTCGAAGGACAAATCGCCAGAAATACACTCATTTGCAAGTCAATTTGGTTTGCACGAAAGACTCATCTGAATCTCTCGTTTATGATATTCTACAACTGAATGTGCTGCACATAGGTGGTGTTTCAGGTGGCACGATATTCGAGACATCGCAGTATATTTTCATAAATGAAACTACTCAGAAGGTGGGCTGTCGAAGGGTTTTCAGCAACCTTGTGAGTAGTTTCCTTCATGACGAATCGCCAGCTTTTGTGTGTGTTCATTTGTATGCTCGTGCCAACCATCATACGTACGACAATACATTTGTCGGACAGAATGCGAGAACACAGTCTTATGTCTCTGAGTAGTAGTTGGAAGAAACCGCGCTCACGTGCACTTGCCGAACACTTGGCCGAATCCAGTCATGTCATCGACGAGGAGCAAGCGTTCGTCATTATATACCGGGTACCTCTGAAGTAATCACGACCGGTGCGATCCAGACTACTATCGAAAGTAGAGGCCACTGGAATCCGACTGCTGGATCCATAAATTGGCGTTCAAAAGCTTGAGTTCCATGATCTCTGAACTTGAAGTGGCCTGCATCAATTCCGATCCCTCGAAGCCTGCCTGACATTGATTTTATCCCTTGATTCTATGACCCATTTAGCTATCCTTCCTTCACCTACCTTCCCTCTTTGATTTCTACTTCACCAGGGCGCATGTTCCCCAATTTTAACTTTTTTGCACGTCATCTCTGGTGCCATACAATTTTGTGACATATTATCCAAGAGGTACAATCACAGGAAACAAGGTTTATTCGCCACCTTCCTTCATCAG